CGGGGGTGGGGGTGGGGGGGGAGGCGTCTCCCCAGGAAGCCCCGCGGCAGGCTGTCCTCGAGGTACCGGTTACCCAAGTCCAAGGCACCGTTGGGTCCTGGGTAGCCCCGCACCCCCGGTTTCCCGCGACGCCCCGTCGGGCCAGGCGTCGGAAGGGCTGGAAACGCCGAACTAGAGACGCCAGGGAGCCGGCGTGAGGGCTGGTAAACTGTGCACAGGTGTCCGGCCGGGAACACGGGCCGGTGTTAAGGGGGCCGGGCGTGGAGGGGGCCGGGCCTGCCAGGGGCCTATTGGACGCCGCTCGGCCCTTATTTGCATATTCATGAAGCAGGGAGAAGGCTGGACGCCGGAGTCCGCTTGGAGAGGTGATGAATTATTCATGAAGTGTTTCGCCCCGCCCTAGAAGGCCTGGTTGATTATTCATGAGCTCGAGAGGCGGGTTTGAACCGGAACAGGCCGTTGTCGCGCCGTCGGCGGGGAGAGGTGGTCGGGCGAGGGCCGCGAAGGAAAAGGGCCCTGGAGGAGACTGTCCGTTTCTAGTCTCTGTGAACTTTTCCTTTTCTTTTCGCTGGAGAGGTTCGATCCCCGATTTGAAAGTCTATCGCGGGGCGCCACATACTGTGAGGAGGAACGTCGGGGCCGAGGAGAAGGCCTGGGGGGAGCTTGTAGGTAACACGGCCCCCTCCCTCCACGGTGGGCGTTGGCGACGGTCACGTTTCCCGGGTGTGTGTGGGGGGGCGGGGAGGTGGAGACAGTTCCCCGGGGACACCCGCACCCCCACCATCTTAGGCAGCGTTTCAGTTGAGATGTCGGTGGAAGAGGAGGAATCCGTCTCGGAGAGGAAGGTGGCGGAGGCGACCAGGACTCTGCGTGTTGCAGGGAGTCGGGCGTGGAACCTTCGGGATTGCGCTCCGCGAGCTCCGGTGTTTCCCCCGCCGCCATGGCGGTTTTCCCGCCAGGATCGATGCTCAGCGCAGACCCAGAGGGTGGGGATGGGTCCCCGCCAACCAGTGACCTGAACCGTCCTTTCACTTTATACCCGGGATTTGCCGTTTAATCTCCGTGGACTTTAGCTCCCCAAACACTAGAGGGGAGAGAGTGTCTTGGAAACGCAGGATTAGCCAATCGCCAGAACGTGTTCAAGTTTTGCCGAGCACTGGACGGGGCGTGCGGTACATCATGTACTTGGCTGGTGAAAACGGAAAAAAAAGAAAAAAAGAAGTATGGTTCTTGCTCTTAGAAGAGCGCTTAATCTAATTAGGGCGAACATCTCATTTCTCCCCCCAAGGAGCCATAAATCTTTTGAGATGTGTGAACAGTCTTTTGCATTTTTTGTAATCCTAGGGGAAGCTTAGCACATTGTAGTTGCCCAGTAATAAAATGTTGAATGAATGAATGATTAAAGTAGCGTGAAGAAGATATTTAAAAAAAAAAAAAGCGAGCATGAACAAATACCCAGCTAATAGAGCGGAGACCATTTCCTCTGCGTGAACCTGGAGCAGGGGAATTATCGGGGCCAAATGGGATTTGTTAAAAGGGGGAGTCATCATTTAGGAAAACAGACGTGAAACCTTGGAGTCCCTGGATGACCTTTGGCAAACCAAGTCCTCTTGCTGGACTTTGCTTTCCTCTTCTTTATAGTTTTGTATTTTAAATTTAAATCCATGACCCATTTTGAGTTAACATATGTATATTAATTCACCTAAGTCTCCCCTGCCCCCAAGCCTTATGGATTTCCTACTGTGCCAATACCATCCTCCTATATAAAAAAAAAGGCTATTATGCAAATCGACCCAATGGCGGATCTACCGGTGGCTATGATGCACACTGACCACTAGGGGGCAGATGCTCAACGCAGGAGCTGCCCCCTGGTGGTCAGTGCGCTCCCACAGGCGGAGCAGCCGCTCAGCCAGAAGCCGGGCTCATGGCTGGCTAGTGCAGCGGCGGTGGCAAGAGCCTCTACCTCTGTGGCAGCACTAAGGATGTCCAACTGCCATCAGGCGGACATCCCTCATGGGCTCCCAGGCTGCGAGAGGGTGCAGGCTGGGCTGAGGGACTGCCCCCCCTGAAGTGCAGTGAATTTCATGCACTGGGCCTCTAGTTGGTTATAAAGACTACCCTTCCTCCACTGAATTGTTTACCCTTTTCTTTAAAAGGAAGGGACTGGATTAGTTATAGAGGATGTCTCTTGTCCCTTCAGTTGTAGAGCCCATTTATGTTGAGAGAGGAAAGACGGGAGGGAGAGAGAGAGAGTGAGAGTGAGAGAGAGAGAGAGAGAGAGAGAGTGAGAGAGAGAGAGAGAGATGAGAAACATTGAGAAGTTGTCTCCGGTACATGCCTGACTGGGGATCAAACCCACAATCTTTTGATGTATTGACAACACTCCAACCAACTGAACCAGCTGGCTTGGGCCCTATTTTATTTCTTGCAGTCATTAAGGGAAACAATTGTCATGTTGAGTCAGATTTGAAGGTTACACTCGGAAATGAAAGTTATATTCTGAAGTCGACAAAGGATCCCTTGGAATCTTTAAGGACCAAATAAGTATTAGGTGGTTTTCAGTCTCATATAAAATATTGTAAAAGAGTGTCCCCTAGTGCTGCTCTGAAGAAGTCATTTGAGAGGAATTATTACCTGTTTGTTATCTCTGTCACCACCTTGTGGCCTCAAATAATTCTGCCGTCTTCTATTTGCAAAATCTTCCAGAATCTTGCATTAATCTATACACAAAAACAGGTCACAGGGTGATCCAGAATGGAATTTCTTTTAACGGACTATTTTACAAATATTTTGGTCAGAACTGGATAAAACCTTGAAAAGAAGCCACAGTTTAGATTAAAGCCTTTGAAAAGGGGAGTTTTACTTCTTTTTTTTTTTAAATGTAGTGAAGCAATGGAAAGAAAACCGGTTTTGTTTTTTCCTAAGGAACAGCTTAAGATGGAAGAAGCAACAGGAGAGCGCCTAGGCGGGGCTGCTTTGGCTCACTGAGAAGTCACAGAAAAGGGGGCCTTGGAGATGGGTTCAGGGGGTGAGCCTGGGATGGGCTGCTGCTGCCCATTGCTGCCCTGGTTGCCAGTCTCCTGGGTCCTTTAGAATTTAGGAGACGCACGCCTGTGGGAGAAGGTGTGGGTGTGCTACGGGGAGGCGGAGTGCCTAGATGTACTTTAAACAATGGTTTTTATTGTGGTAAAATGTACACAACAAAATTCACCACCTCGACCATTCTCTCAAGTGTACAATTCAGCGGCACCAAGCTCATTCACAGAGTTAGACAACCGTCACCACTATCCATTTCTAGAAAATTGTCATCATCCTGAATAGAAAGTCTGTACCCATTAAACTTCCATTCTTTCTACCCGCCAACCTCTGGTAACCTCTATGCTACTGTCTATGAATTTGACTACCTTCCTCATATAAGTTGAGTCATGCAGTATTTTTCCTTTTGTGTCTGGCTTATTTCACTTAGCATAAAATTATCCATGTTGCAGTATGTGTCAGAATTTCATTTCTTTTTAAAGCTGAATAGTTTTCCATTGTATATACCACATTTTTAAAAATTCAACTGCTGATGGATAGTCCCATCTTTTGGCTATTGTAAATAATACTGCTATGACCATTGTCTGTTTGAATCCCTGCTTTCAATTATTTTGGGTATGTACTTAGAAGCAGAATTGCTGGATAATATGGTGATTATTTAACTTTTTGAGGAACTGCCATACTGTTTCCATAGCAGCTACACCATTTTGCATTCCCATCAGTAGTGGTTTTAATTTTTCCACATCCTCACCAATTCTTGTTATTTTCCATTCTTTTTGAATAGCCAACCTAATGGGTGTGAAGTATAAACATTAAATTTTGAATTGGCTTTGAAAATCAATTACACACGGAGCTAATTCAAGAAATTATTTTGAGGTGCTGCTATATGCAAAGCACTGTTACATTTTGAGGGAAAAACAAGGATGAAAAAATACATGATTGATGTAAATATGTTTTTTGGGGGAGAGTCAGTCCTCACCAGAGGACATTTTCCCACTGATTTCTAGAGAGAGTGGAAGGGAGGAGGAGAGACAGAAAGAGAGAGAAACATCCATGTGAGAGAGGCACATTGATTGGTTGCCTCCCACATGGGCCCTGACCAGGGCGGGGGATTGAGCCTGCAGCTGAAGTATGTGCCCTTGACCGGAACCAATCCCGGGATCCCTCAGTCCGCAGGCCAATGCTCTATCCACTGATGCAAACCAGCTAGGACTCATTAGGTGATTTACAATATTTTTCTCCTCCAGATGTATTTGGGAACAAGTAAGTCAACTTACATTTTTATTGGGTGGTTGGAAAAACTGATCCAGAGACTTTATGCCAAATTTTAAAAAAATTGTTTGTGGAGATCAAAATGTTTATTAAACTAATTTTCCAAACAATATAGTCAAATGCTAATTATATAATATTTCTTTGGACTATTCACAATAAGGATTATGTTGGGCAAGGTCTCTAATTGGTTTATTTTTTCTCTCTGTTTTTGCAGGTTAGACTTAAAAGAATCCTGATCCGTTACTATAATGGCCATTGCTCAGCTCTCTCACTCCATCAGAATTAACAAGGCATCTAAGGTATTTAGTAAGAATTAAGGCTGCTCTGTCTCTGCAGTAGCCTATTCTCCATCTTACTGCTTCACTAATAAACTCTATTTCACTTAAAAATGGAATTAAAAGAAAATTGATGACTAGTCAGTTCAGAATGATGACTTTAATCTTTGGCATTTTTTTTAACAGCAGTTTTATCAGTTAATTGGCACAAAATTTATGGCAGAGCATGTCTACATTTTAACTGCCTAATGGACTGAGGATGTTCGGAAAATTAGAATAGACTCCTACAAAATAACTTACTGGGTGTTGTTTCATATTTATATATTTAGATTTTCTAGGGTAAAAGAAATCAGACACAAAAAAGATGTTTAAAGAGAATGGTTCTTTGCTAGACATTCACTTCCTGAAACAATTAGGAAACTTCTGATGTACAACATGATGTAGTTATAAGAACTGAGGGAGAGAACAATGAGAAAAACTTGTATGCTGGGACGCGTGGGGGAGCATGCCAGGGCTAGGCAAACTTGCTGGTTTATCTTGGCAAGTTTATCTTGTCCCATGACATTCATTTTTTAAAAAAATATATTTTATTGATTTTTTACAGAGAGGAAGGGAGAGGGATAGAGAGCTAGAAACATCGATGAGAGAGAAACATCGATCAGCTGCCTCCTGCACACCTCCTACTGGGGATGTGCCTGCAACCAAGGTACATGCCCTTGACCGGAATTGAACCTGGGACCTTTCAGTCCGCAGGCCGACGCTCTACCCACTGAGCCAAACCGGCGACAGCGCATGACATTCATTAATGAACCATTTATGTATTCATTGAGAGCCCAATATAATATAATATATATGTAATACTATATTATCCTCTAAATGAATACATAAATAAAAAACTTCACCCTGACCGGGTGGCTCAGCTGGTTGGAGCATCGTCCGGTATACCAAAAGATTGCGGGTTCAATTCCTGATCAGGGCATATACCTAGGTTGCAGGTTTGATCCCCAGTTGGGGCCAGTACGGGAGGCCGCATCGATGTTTCTCTCTCTTCCTCTTTAAAAATCAATAAAAACAGATCCTCGGGTGAGGATTAAAAAAAAAAGACTCTTCATCTTCTAGAAGTTTATAATCTGGTTAAATTAAGATTTGCAGGAGTTAAGTCAATATACAAAGTAATATATGCATTACATATATGAAAGAGTAAGGCAACACAATTGTAAGAATTTATAGATTTTTATATAGACTGGAATAGTTTATATTCCTCATGAAGGAGATGGGACTTAAAGTGAATCTTGAATGATGAAAATGATTTTAATAGAGGAGAAAAAAAAGAGAATTCCATGAGGGAAACCTATCACATGCCTTGCCTCAGAATAAAAAAATGAGTGTGGCATGTTTCAGAGAATAACAAAGAACCGTCCTGACTGAATTGGAGTGTCATCCTGTTGAACAGAAATAGTAAGTAAAATTGAATAGGAACTCTGAGGATAAAATAATATGGATGCTAAGGCTAAGGAACTTACACTGTATCCTGCAATCAATAGCAAGTCAGTGGGTTTGATCAGGAGAGTGAGTAAAATCATTGTTTCAGGAATATTAAGCTGTAGCAGAAATAGGAAATATTGAAGTTGAAGGAGAATTATGGCAGAGAGAAGGCAGTCATCTTTCTTGCTCGAATTTAATGTACTCACCAGGCTCCTGATCTCATTTCGGTTTCTAAGTGTGCTTCCCTCCTGGGGCAGAGATGCTGAGCCATATATATGAATTGCAATCAACTTGGAAGTTATTTTTCTTACTGAGTATTAACAAATTGACCTTTTGATATAAACCAGCAGTTCTCAACCTGTGGGTCGTGACCCCTGAAAATACATCCTGCATATCAGATATTTACATTACGATTCATAACAGTAGCAAAATCACAGTTATGAAGAAGCAACGAAAATAATTTTATGGTTGGGGGTCACCACAACATGAGGAACTGTATTAAAGGGTCGCGGCATTAGGAAGGTTGAGAACCACTGACAGATCTTTGTAGTTTGGACTCCATGAGCTACTTCTCCCAGTAAGTTTTAAGTGATTTTGCTATTTAATACTTTAAACATCAACAATAATAACTATAGAAGCTAACATTTATTCATCACTTGCCATGTGCTAGGCACTGTGCCAAGGGATTTACTAATATATTATTATTTCAATTAAACTTTGCAATAAGAAACTGAAGCTCAAAGAAATAAAGTAACTTGCCTGAGGTCATGTAACTTGACAGCTAAGCTGTAAAAATCACATGTCATTAGCACACTATCTTATTAAAATAATTTATAATCCTGTTGTTTTACAGTATTTATAGTATTTTCATGTATTAGGCATTATAAAAACGATAGCTAAATGAACTAAGTCAGTCAGAGAAAAAGACACATCCCCTATGAGTTTACTCGTGTGGAATTTAATGAACAAATTGAACTACCAAGCAAAATAGAGACAGACTCATAGGTAGAGAGCAGGCAGACAGCTCTAGAGGGATTAGGTGGGATTGGGGGGTGGGGGATTGAGCATAAAAGAGAGAAAAAAAGAACTATGGATATGGACAACCGTGTAGTGATTGCAGGGGTGGAGGGGGATGGGTGGAGGTGGAAGAGGGCATAGAGGGGGAAAAGGGTGATGGGAGAAAAATTAAAACAAAAACATTAAAAAAGACAGCCCTGACCAGTTTGGCTCAGTGGCTAGAGCATCCGCCTGTGGACTGAAGAGTCCCAGGTTCGATTCCGGTCAAGGGCATGTACCTTGGTTGCGGGCACATCCCCAGTAGGGGGTGTGCAGGAGGCAGCTGATAGATG